TTGAAAAACTTACTGTATTGGGACCGGAGGATACTGTATGTTCCCGTTGCTGTTGTTACAGGACGAGGACGACGAAGAGAAAGATGAACCCTAATCGCAGAAACGGGGATAGAATTCTCCCTCGCTTTGCTTGTCAAGAACCCTATCATCTGCAACCACTACCGTTTACGGTTTCTTTGGAGTTTAGTTTGATTCGGTTTGAGAGATTAGGGTTTCAATTTGGTTCTCTTCTACACCCCATCTTATTTCTACAATTTTGGTGATTATTTATCGACAAAATTGCTAAATATTATGTATTCTTTTTTTAGATTTTAGTTCAAACAATGATTTTTTTTAGAGTAATGATCCTTTTGAGTTAATTTTGTTACGTTTTTTTTATTCCTCTCAATAGTTGCGTTTTTTTATTCCTCTGAATAGTAAAATGACTTTAATGTCCTTTTGATATATATTTTTTTGTTTTTTTCTATTTAATTTAATATTTTATTAATTAAAATCTCTTTTTATCTTTCTTTCTCTCTCTCAAAATATTGTCTTCTCCTCAAAGACTCAAGCATCGCCGCCGACTTCCCTTTAAGCTTGCTTACACCCCCTGTAGTTGACTTAAGCTTTGACACATTCATGGCACTAAGCGACGACATCCTTACACCCTGGTTCACACCCCTCAACACAAACCTAGTCGTCACCTCCACCAACGCACCAACCACCATCGACGTTACTTTCGAGGTCGCAATCATGCTATTTCCATTCACGCCCTTCCCAACAGCTTTAGCCACCATGGATCTCGCCTTCATTGACTCGTATTTTTGTATATCGTAAACTAGCTCTTTCTGGAGTTGTTTATCGGCAACGAGCGTCTGATCGATCTCGTTTTTTGTAGTCTTTGAGAAGGATTCGAAGGCATTCCATTAGGGATCCTGAAAGAGGGTTGTTTGTGCTCTCAAGGAGATGTTTTAGTTCTCTATGAAGATCGGGATTGTGTTTTGGATAAATCCTATTTGCACAACTTGTGTTATCCACTGTTGGACTTTTATTTGTAGGGATTTTGATTTCTTTGCAAGACAGAATCTGAAATGTATGTTGTTGTTTGGGATAAAAGAGCATGTAAAAGATATTGAAAAGATGCTTTGTCCCCCTCTTTTTAATGATCAGTTAGTAGATAGCCGAATGGGAAGACTTCTTTCACAATGAGATAGCAGATTTAGACTCGTTATGGATTATTTTCTTCGGTCGGTCAAAGGATGTGGACTAGTGAGTGTTGAGTCGGCTTGGTGGTAAGGAAGGAAATCGCCTTGCAAGTCAAGTCCTTGACTTGGATCAGAAAGGAGTGGTGACTTTGAGGAGGATCATGTGTATAGTCTAGAAGTTGTGTCTTCAACATGTACTCTCTAGAAGTTGAGTGTGGTACTTAAGCACGTTCAAATGTAAGCCATAGCTCACGAGAAGTGGTACCTTGAACATGATGGAAGGATTTTTTAGAGATGATTGAGATGATTATCATACATATATAAACATCATTTAGATCAAAATTGCGTAATTAGGGTTGTCTCTTGGTTTGATTTTTGGATGAGGAATAAAAGTGGCAGCATGTAGCAGAAGGTGTTTTGTTGGAAAAAGAATTATGTCATCCACGTAGCCAAAAATACTGTGTATGAGAAGGAAGGGATGAATTATGGTCTTCCACTAAGCAAGTGTAAATGCAAACTTGTGAGAGTTGTAAGTGTTTTATGTGCAATGGTGAAGTCATCGAGAAGAGTCATGGGTAATTGTTGAAAGAGAGACGAACAACAACAATGAACAATGAACGTGGATAGTACCCTACATTTTTTGTAGGCCGGAGGCAGCTATTGTTATTGGAAGTAACGGTAAACCCTAAAAAAATAAGGAAGGTGGCATTAGAAAACTCTGGGCTTTGATATCATAAAGAGTCGCAGGGTCGGTCCAAAGATATAGTGGGTCCAGAGCGAAAAGAAAAAATATGCCCCTAAAATTGAAAATAAACAAACCGTTATAAAATTCACTATTAATATTAAAAAAACAAAAATATAGCTACAACATTACAAAAACAACTAATTTAAAGAAAAATATTTTTCTTAGCATTTTTAGATAAGTTGATTTTTTTTCTCTCTATATATACCATATATTCTAGGAATTTTTGGCCCTTTAGAAACATGGACCCTGGGCAACCGCCCGGGTTGCCCACCGTATGGACCGGGCCTGAAGAGTCGTATAATTGTGAAGTGTATTGTATTGTATAACAAGCTTGACATCAAGCTTGTAATCATACTTAGATTCTACTAGAATTCATGGGTAAATTAGCAATAGAATGTCCACAATGCTACATGATTTTTTATTGGTGAAAATCTAAAAGGATTAGCAATCTTTATTGACTTATTTGCTATATTACCAAAGGTTCTAAAAAGCTCATTATGGTTTCAAAGCTTGATTAAAGCACTGCTACGTTGCTTGTACTTCATGTCATGCACAAGTTCGGTGATTTTGGTCTACGAAATCCAAGATTTACACCCCTGCACGCGGATAGAACTTGAAGTAAAACCATAGACACAAGCTTGTAATTAAGCTTTTCATGCATTCAAGCTTATAAACCTAGTTGAGTTGGTCTTTCTACCAATGTGGGACTCATTCCCACATTCATCTCTTTTGCTAACTTTATTCTCAAATATTTGTCTTTGAGTATCGATATTTCATTCACATATACTTCATTTATTCCCACATTCATCTCTTTTGCTAACTTTATTCTCAAATATTTGTCTTTGAGTATCGATATCTCATTCACATATACTTCATTTTGGAAGTATAATATATTGTTTCAAAGTTCTCATGAAGGAGAACACAAACCCACTTAGATTTAATTATATATACAGCATATGTATATATTTATATATGTCCAAAGTTAGTAAAAATATAAATATTTATACTAAATTTTTCCAACTATATATATATATATATATTATATATATATATATATATATATATAGTAGAAAATAAATATAAAATTATCAGTTATATCAAAAGTTGTGTCCTTAAGTCACGTCTTACAAACGATGTGGTTCGCCATGGCTCGTAAAAGCTTGAGTTTGACATTATCGTCAAGTCACGTCTAACATTATTTAGAACCGTTTATATTATTAGATAATGCTATAACAAAACCTATGAAAAGTTAATTCACGAGAAGGCATCTTTTTAGTACATGCATATTATTAGGATGCATCATCTTTTTTAGTACATGCATATTATTGGGATGCATCATAGGAAACTTTTGAAAAGTAAATCATTAAAAGATACACCAGATATGGAATTTTAAAGCCACGACTCCATGAGCAGATTTGAGACTTGGCGCATTGTTGGCCTTGCATGTGGGTTGGAGTTCAAACATGCTCTTGAAAGACTCAGAACTAATTTAACTTGTTTCTCAACTATTGATGATGGAGGTGGTATACGACGATCTCCCACGTTTGCTAGCAATAGATAATCAGCAGCCAATGTTTGTAAAGATGTTATGAGTTCTCCAGGATGCCTTCCCATCATCACTTCAAGTGCAACAACTCCAAAGCTATACACATCGCATTTCTCATTGGCCACCATCGTATACGCAAGCTCTAGATTGAAAAAGAAAATGAGATAAAAACTAAAAAAGTTATATCAACACCACAACATTCTAACATAGATACAAATATTCATATACATAAATACATACATACATGTATAGATGTGTATGTGTAGATGTAAAAAAGAAGAGCACAAACTTAAGTTACCTGGCGGGATATAACCATAGCTGCCTACAATTGTGGTCCAGTTGGATGAGTCTAGCTTTAAAATCTTGGATGTGCCAACATCAGAAATATGTGCCTCGTAATCAGAATCGAGAAGGATGTTGGCAATGGAAATGTCTCTATGAATTATAGGAGGTGAACAATCGTGATGCATATAAGCCAAGCCATTAGCTACACCCTTTACAATTTTGATCCTTTTCAACCAATCCAATTCTTTTGCTAAGATATCACTACTTAAGATTGATCCAATGCTTCCCTTTTCAAGGTATTCGTAAATCAAAAATGAGTGACGGGCATGGGAGAAATATCCATAGAGTTTCACTATGTTTTGATGCCTTATATTTGTTAATGCTCGTACCTCATTAAGGAATCCCTTATGATCAACCTTACCAGATGATGAGTGAAGTTTCTTGACAGCTACTACATTGTTAGGTTGTAGCTTGGCTTTGTATACAATACCATATCCTCCTGTCCCAATACAGTGTGCATCATCAAAGTCATTTGTAGCTTTCAAGACTTCATCATACACTACTCTTCCATCAGAACTTGATATTGAGAAGAAATCATCAACTTCTACGTCCAATGATTGTTGTGGAACAATTTTCTTTTGTCGTTGATAAGCTATGAGGCCACACATGAGTAAACCAAGTAAAAGTGCCCCGAAAAGGGGAAGCACAATTATAAGGATGCGCTTATGATGAAAAGGATCTTTTTTCTTCATCATATTTTGACTTGGACAAAGCTTTAATCCAGTAACATTTCCACACAAACTTGGATTGCCTTGAAATACTTGTATCGATGCATTGACAAAGATTGCATAAGGGGGAACTGGACCTGTGAGCTCATTGTAAGACAAATTGATATCAATCCCACTTAGGAACTTTTCAAAAGCATCAGGAATAGAACCCGATAGTCTATTGTGAGAAAGATCAAATTTCTCCAAATTTTGCAAACTTTGAACTTCAGATGGTATCTCTCCCATGAGCAAATTATGAGATAAATCAAGTGTTGTCAGTTGACTTAATTTACCTATCTCGGAAGGGATTTTTTCACTGAGTTTGTTATTACTAAGATTCAAGTAATACATGTGTGTCCAGCCACCAATATTTCTTGGTATCGACCCATTCAATCTATTTGTGGACAGATCGAGAGCAATAAGATCACGCAGTGATCCGAGCTCATTAGGTATAATACCTGAAAGTTGGTTATCAGCCAAGGACAAATACAACATACTTTTCATCTTCCCAATCTCCTTAGGGATCTCCCCAACAATAAGATTTGAAGTAAGATCAAGTCTGCGGAGTTGAGTTGAATTTCCAAACTCAGGTGGAATGCTACCACTGATGTTGTTATATCCTATCCCTAAGGCTGTCAAATTCTTGCATTTACTCCAGTTTTCAGAAAGCTGCCCGTGAAACTTATTGTGACTGAGATCAAGGTAATCTAGGCTTGGATAGACCCCAAAGCTATTTGATATATCTCCGGTGAATTGATTGTTATCAAGGACAGCTCTAAATAGGCTACGACAATTCTTTAAGCCTCTTGGAATAGGACCGATGAGCTGATTATCACTTAGTGACAAAAATCTAAGGTTTCCCCCATGACAGAAATCTTTGGGCAAATGACCGGACAATTGATTTGTGTCCATTTCTAGCTCAACCAAATCTAGACTTCCCAATCCTTGTGGTATATTCCCAGATAATTTATTGTCACGGATGGAAAGATATTGTAGGTTGCTTAGGTTCTCTAGTGATGAAGGAATTGGGCCACTAAGATTATTTTCACTCACCTCGAGATCAGTGAGAGACTTCAAATTCCCAAGTTCGACAGGAATATGACCAGAGAGTTGATTTTGGTACAAATGGAGGAGATTCAAAGATGTCAACTCACCCAATGATGAGGGGATTGAGCCAGACAGATTGTTTGAGAAGAGGCTTAGGCGCTCAAGTGAAACCATGCTTCCTATTTCTTGTGGGATTGAACCATTTAGATGGTTTTGAAAAAGGTACAAGATAGTTAGCTTTTTCAGATTTCCTATTTCTTTTGGGATGGGACCATGAAGTGAATTATGAGTGATATAGACCTCCACAAGATTGACAAGTTGTCCAAACTCTTGAGGAATTGGACCCGAAAGCTTATTGTTATCGAGATAAAGATAAGCCAAGTTTTTCAAATTTCCCAATGATGGAGGTAATTCTCCTTCAAGAGAATTATCATACAATGCAAGCTCATAGAGAGAGGTTAATTGGCCGATCTCTTGTGGTAGTGAACCACTCAAGTTATTTTCATTCAGGTGGAGGGTTTCAAGGTTGGCTAGCATCCCTATCCCAGATGGGATTACTCCAGAAAATTTATTTGTTGAAAAGTCAAGATAGACAAGTTTGGACAAGAGCTGGATTTTTGGTGGGATTGGGCCAAAGAAGTTGTTTACACTGAGCTCAAATTTGGTAAGATTTTGTAACAAAGAGAATGGAAATTGGTGAAGTGTACCATTTATTCCTGATGATGTGAGGTTCAACGTGTGAATGCTCCCATCAGCATTGCAAATTACTCCCAACCAAGAAGTGCATGGAGCCGATGCACTGGAATTCATAGGGAGCCATGAAGAAACCAAGGAGTTGTTTGGGATCTGAAGGCTTCCTTTCCATTTAAGAAGAGCATTTGCTTCCTCTATTGATGCAGAAGCAAAATTTTGTATATTGGAGAGTGGAATGATTAATAGAGCTAAAGAAAAAAGTAGAAAGTTTGAAGCAGACATTATTTGCTTTCGTGTGTTATTATGAAAACTGTGGTTTGTGTGTTGTAATTTATACTTGAATTATCATTTTTTTTTAGTTGCTTATTTTCAAGATGGAAAATTAGGATGTTTCATATTATTCCACAAGAGTAGACTTGAGAAGTCAATGCCATATTTTCCACAAAGGAGTGTATCACACTCTGAGAAATCAATGCCTTATTTTTCCACAAAAAATGTGCAGAAGTCTAGTACACTGTGGCGTGTCAAGGCCGTATTTTTCCATGCCAAAATTTTCCACAAAAAGTGTATTTACACTTACAAATGTATTCCTAGGACAATCTATGAGAAAACATTGTTAGTTACCAAATTAATGGTAAGGATTTAACAGTGCAATATAACTGTATTTGATTTCCTGTTAAATCTAAAAAGAGTTTCAATTTGAAATTGGTTTATGAAACAAATCCATTTTAATCATTATTGTTTCAAATTAAAGAATAAAGACCATGTTAATTTCTAGATAACAGAATTTAATTTGGTAAATCGCAAACTTACAAAACAATTAAGAGATGATCATGAAAAAAAAAAAAAAAAAAATGGCCACCATTTTCACAAGAACAATATTTTCGGTCTACAAAGTAGTTTTGAACTCCATGTCTTCTCAACTTTCTCTTTGTTTTATACCCTTTTGGTATTCCATCTTTCTTTCTTTTTGTATGAGGTTACTAGGTTATAATATGTGAAATCTATGGTTGACAAAATAAAATAACATAAAAAATGTAATCATTAATCATAATTTTGCGTACATTTACTTTTAAACATACCTAGGATATGGTTAGCGATCTTCCATTTATCCTCTAGATGGTAGTTCATTGGCAAACAATAGTCAGATTTTCCATTTATCCTGGTTTTTCTCTTACAACCTCCCAAACATTGTATTAAATATAAAATTTCTCAACTACAACCACATGATTAGAGTTCTATAAAAGGAAAGGTCAGATCTTCCTTTCAGCCTAGTTTTCCCTTCCATTCATTGTATAATCAGACTGGAATCACTCGTATCCACATTCATCAATACAACATCCCTTTGATTTTTTGGTATTAAATAATCAAGTAGATTAACATACCATGGTGTTAGAAATCAAAGAAAATTAGCATATCTTCATTGCTTCTTTATATATTTATTAACAATTTTATACTTTCGACATTTGATACCCATATCATACTTATATGATTTTAAATAAAAGTGATAAATGTAAGATAAAACAACAGCTTTCATTTATATGTTTACTATAGCATCCTACTTTCATTATGTCATATTACATCATTCTACTTTCATTTTTTTTCCTTATTAATGCATTGTGTTATTAAAAATCAATTCAATCATAGCATTGTGCTTTCAATTCCTTTTTCTCCTTAGGACATTAAACTTTAAGAAATCAACAATTTTTTTTTATTTGGATGGCATTATAATCAATACCATACACAAAAGTAGGACATGTTGCTACTGTTTCAATGCACTATTTTAAGTTCCATCATTTAAATTTAGAAGCGACAATAAAAGATAACAAGTTTAAAGTTTAACATAAAACACAAAATAACATATTTCAACATCTCAAAATGAAACATAATTTAAGGTGAACCCAAAATAAAGCTTCTCGGTTAACTTTTCGGTTATTAGTTGAGCATTATAAAGTTCTTGAAGCTCCATCATTTGTTGTTTATAAAGTTAGAATATCACTATTGCTTTCAACAGAAATCAGAAAACAATTGTGAATTATATGTCTAGATTATACCTTTCCCCTGGATTTATAATCAAGTTCCATATATTCTATTTTTTTCCAACCATTTCATGCATCAAAACCAAAGAAAACATAAAAGATCACACAAACTTCAATATTGATCGCTAATATCTAACTGTTTTAACTTTATGGTTATTAAACCAGTGAATACAAATATCTGATCAACTTAAAATCGGTTTTTTAATAAAAGCTACAAAAAACTAACCAAAAAATGCATTGACAATCATCATATTCAACTTCGTTTATTATAAAAAATAAAAGATTCATTATGCAGAGTCCATGATCACTATTATAGCATGAAAGAGCATAAATTTGTACTCTCACTTTTCAAGATTATATCAACCAGAATATATGCAACCTCAATAGCACAAGACAACTAAAGTGCAGACATTTGAAGAAACAGGTCATAATATTTAAGCTTTCATGCTTTCTTTTTACTAATTTCTAGTTATGGTTCTCAATTTAAAGCATGGTTAAAAATTCAAATAGATTTGTGCATTCTTGTTAGGAGATGCGTGTATATGGCCCTTTTCAATACCATGCTCTTATGTTAGTGTTAAGATTCTTCCACATGTAACTGATTTAATTTACGTATTTAACTAGAAGCCATTCAAATGAATACATATTATTACCAGGATGCATCATAGGGAACTTGAGAAAAATCAAGAAAATTGAAAGTAAATTTTATCAGTAAACCAGAGATGTCAATTCAAACCCAATCCATAGAGTTTATCAGATTTAAAAGCTTCCTTTTTTCAAAGATATCTGTAAATAAAAAAAATAAAAAAAAAAAAAAAAAAATTAGTGTTTAACTATGTTTCAATGCCTAGAGTCTGTTAACACTTGTACCTCATTAACAGAACCCTTAAGATCAAAAATCTCACATGATGGATGAAGTTTCTTGACAGCTACTGTATTGTTACTCTGTAGTGTGGCTTTCTACACATTACAATACCCTCCGGTCCAAACACATTAAGCATCATCAAAATCATTTATTGCATTCACAATTGCATCATAAACTAACCTTCCATCTAAACTTGTTATGGAGAAATAATAAGTCACTTGTTTCGGCAGAGGTTTTTTGTTTTTGAAACTACCCCATAAGAGAGAGCATAATTACAAATAGGTCATTAATCTTCTTCATTTTTTATTTGCACAAAGTTTTAGTCATGTAACACAATATAGGAGCAAAGGGAACTGAACGTGTGAGCTCATTGTCAGGCAGTTTGATATTAATCATACTAGAAAAACTAGTAAAAGCATTAGGAATAAAACCAATAAGCCTTGATCTTTCATCAAATCATTTGGTTGGGGATATCCGAGGAGTTTGGTGAGATTAATACAAGCTCCTTGAAAAAATCAAATCTGAGATTGGTAAACTAGGCTAACTTATGAAACTTGATTAATCTCAGAATTTGCTCACGGAAGAGATACCATATGAAGCTCAAAGTTTGCGAACGTTGGATCTGTGTAGAAGATTTGGTATTAACCTTAATGCTTTTACAAGTTTGCCCAGTGGGTTAATATCGACCTGTCTTAAAATGATTTCACTTCATACAAGGGAATCCAAGTTTGCGCAAGTGATTCATGAGTAGAACTTTGTGCAAATCAAATTACAACAAGGCGATGATTATTCTCCATAACAAGTTTTGATGGAAGAATAGTAAAGCAACGAATAATTTCGAAAAACTTACTGTATTGGGACTGGATGATATGGTATGCAACCACAGATGTCTGATGTTGTAAAGGGACGAAGAAGATAAACAACCTTAATCGCAGATGAACCCTAATCCAAAAACTCAGGGGAAGATGAAACCTAATCGCCGACACAAATCTTATATAAAAAAATCTTCTTTGCTTGTCAAGAACCCTATCCGTTCACGGTGTGCGGAAGGCTTCGATCATTTTGTGGTCGTAAGTACATAGGGTTCGTGGATAAGAAAGACACTTTTGGGTATTTTAACAAAACTGTATAAGTGGTCCTTGTAGTTTCTAAAAAGTCACACTTTCAGAACAATATTGAAAAACACTACACTTCCGGTCCTTGTGGTTTTTAAACCAGGCGTAATTGGTTCTTTTGAGAAACAACCCTAATTAATTTCATTATTAAAAGACATTTTTACCCCGTTTTGTCACTTTCCAACTTTATCATTTTACCATCAAACCAAATTAGTCTCCCAACTTTTCGAAGGAGTTTACCCGTGTCGAAAACTATCTTACATAAACAGAATTTGATACAGAGATGATAGTAGGTAACAAAAAGTATAAGTTGTTACATGATAAGAGTACATAACAATAGAAAATATAATAGTTGGTGACAAAAAATGTAAATGAGTGCATAGATAGCAGTTGTCAACAATCTTTAATGCGTTTTGAAAACTATTGTTTAGAAAGGTAAATAGGAACAAAAAATAGAAGATATTTAAATTTTCAATTAATATATATAATAATATAAACAACGAGAGCTTTTCTAATAAAAACCCTAAAACTCAATTCTAACATGATATCTCCTTCTCAATTACCTCCAAGCTACCCACGAAACCCATCCTTCACCACTCGCTTCAACTCCGGCAGTCGTATATTCTAATAAATTGAAACACAAACACATATAGATTGAAGCAAAATTGATTCCAAAATCCAACAAACCTAGATCTCAAGAGAAAAAATGATTATTACTTGTGGTTAGGATTGTATATGTCCTTGGACAACCAAAACCTAACTCAAAATCACATCTTTTAAAAAAAAAAAAAAAAAAAAAAAAAAAAAAATCATCGATTTATCATTTGCGTTAATGTACATAATCAAAATCCACCAAACCTAGATCCCAAGAACAAAAGCAAACCCAAATGTCAAGAACAATCCCATTGATTACTTTGTTTGTTTAAATTTTCAAGATGGTGAAGACAACCCTATTGAGGATCAAAACGACAAAAGAATATTCAATGTGGAAATTGATTACCAAGTAGGTTTCAAGGTTTCTACTCAACACCTTTTTTGGCTTCTCATTGTTTTTTATGCAAATAGCTAGTACTTGATGAAAATTCAAACAAGAAATCAAGTTTGTCATTTGGGCCTTTTGGAGTGGGCCTTGGGATTGAATCAAGCTAAGTTAGGGGTAAAGTAGTCTTTTACCCCAAGCACAGAGTTATGGATATGAATTGGAATCCGATTGTTAATTTTTTCTATTTTTGTAACGACCCAATTTTTTACGTCCGAAAATTT